GAATCCTTAATATGATCCATAAATGCTACTCCAATATTAATTATTTACCTAGGTCTTTCTTAAGGAAATTATTTACCTAGGTCTTTCTTAAGGAAAAACAGAAGATAACAAAAATATCACCCTTGGCATTGTTCACAAGGTTTTAAAAGAAAGAGTTTTGGATCACTTTCTACACCACTATCACACATCTGCTGTGAACACCAGAGGAAGAGAGCATGTTGTCTTGCAAATTTCGCCTAGAAGTCCTGGCTGTTGGAAGATATAGCCTCTTCCCAGATCTGCAACAAAGCTGATCGGCAGGTTCAAAGCTTATCAAGAATTTTGACTATAACTTTGTTCAGACTCGGTCAAAATTGCAAATGTTTTTGGAAGAGATGCTGTTTGACTGGAAGATTCATGGCCCCGAGTGACTAGTCATCTGCTTCTACCACAATAACTATTACTATTGCTTTGGAGGAAATGTTTGGCTGGGAGCAGTCATGAATAGTTGACAATCACATGCCAACTATGAAATAAAAGAATAAATAATTCACACAAACAGACCTGTGGATGGCAGTTACTTTGTAGTATCTATCTGGATGGGAATAGTTTTTGGTTAAAAATCAGTGATTTTGATGTAATTGTTATTGGACAAGCTTGTGTCATTTACCTAAAGGTGATTCGTTCTCTCTCTCTCTCTCTCTCTCATCTATCTCTCTCTCTCTTTTCCTAACGACTCAAGACATATGTCTAATTTATCAAAAAGCTGTAGAATTGAAACCGGTTTGGCTCAGTGGATAGAGCGTCGGCCTGAGGACTGAAGGGTCCCAGGTTCAATTCTGGCCAAGGGTATGTACATTGGTTGCAGGGACATCCCCAGTGGGGGTTGTGCAGGAGGCAGCTGGTCGATGTTTCTCTCTCATCCTTGTTTCTAGCTCTCTATCCCTTTTTCTTCCTCTCTGTAAAAAAAAAAATCAATAATATATATTTTTTTTTAAAAAAGCTATAGAATATCTGGCAGGTGCTTTTGCAGTGAATACTCTGAATAAAACATTAAAACTTTTATATCTACTTTGAGTCCATGCATCTCCAATCACAAATAGTTCCTCCCCATGGGGTAGGGGCTGAGAGTGGGTTGGCAGATGTTACAGTGTGCCTTTGGTTGTTCGGAACTGTTTCCCAGAATACTCATATGCACAAATAGGAAGATCTCACTTATGTTTCTTCTCATAATATTATCACAGTTAATGTGCAGTTTTGGTTGTGTATTAATGGATTTCTGGATATCAAGAGATATTATTGAATAAGAAATTTAAAATCACACAAAGAAATATTTTAAGAGTCCAGCTTCCTGAACCAGAAAAACTTAGGTGCATAGTTATCTCAACCATTTATTAGCAAAATTAGAGAAGTTATATGATGCTTCTGGATGCTCTATCTCTAAATCGTAATAAGAATTTGAACCCATAAACTTGTGATGAGATAATAAATTTAATGTACTTTTTGTAGTATCTGGGAAATAGTATACACTTGATCAATAATTATAATAATAATTATTATTGCAATTATTATTATGTTGAACAGGAAAAAAAAATTAAGTGAAACATAAGTCACATATTAGTTTATCTTTGGACCAACTTTTTGTTGGAAGTAAAGGCCTGGATCCAGTACTAGAACAGCTTCTTTGATTTCAGTTTCCTAATCTGCCGCCAGATTCTGTACAAGCCATGTCTGTGTCTAAAATAAAACCTGTTTTCACTCACCCACGTGTAACTAGAACCAGAGTCTTCATGTTGTGATAGGACATTAAAGATGAAACAATCTCTTCCTTTTCCAACTTTATTTTCTTGGATAAGTTAATTTCTCTTTCTTGACTTCTGGTTTCTCATTTAAAATGTGGGTATAAAATAACTTGCAAAGATATCTTGAAGGTTTTAAAGTATAATATAATGACATTTATTTCAACAAATAAATAATCAATAAAATGTGGCTAGTATTGTTTAAAATTTTGGTTTTAAGTAATTAGGATATTGGAGAATATTTTAAGGATAATATGCTGTGTCTGAAAACATATGGAAGTGATTTGGAGTTACAAAATATTATTTGCATTATTCTAATACATTAAGACTGTCTACTCATTAACATTCTCCAATATAAGGTCTGTTGTCTTAAAATGTATGGATAGTACTTAACAGATGCCAAATAACTGACCCATTACTGTAATCATCTTTGGTTGTAATCTTCTCTTTATTTATAATTACTTTCCAATTATTTATTTTTGAGACATTTTTAAAGAGGATGATTTGGGGAAAAGTACATCTAAAACAGGTAAACATGATTTAAAAAAAATACATATTTGATGGTTATAATGGCATATGGAGTGAAGTTTCAGTGAAAAATCTCATGAATGACTATTATAATTCAGTCTATCATTAAAGAATAAATATGGTTTATATAGAGAGAAATTAGAAAAGAAGTAAATTTATAGAGTTAGAACTAATGTTTTATAGCAATATAAACAGTAAGCAGCATGAGTGGTAAATACTTATATCATATGAATAAATGATTTGGTGAGACTAATCTCTTTTTTATGTTTGATTTCTTAATCTAACAGAGGATATTTAGGACAGTTTTTAAGTTTCACGAACAAGTAAAATAAAATTAATATATTATAGATCATATGAAGCTGAAGTGTAAAGAAAATAAGGTTCTAATTGAAAGTCTTGAGATAGGCCTACAAAATGTTTCCAGTTGCAGATGTAAATAAATGAACAAAAAAGCAGACATGTGTAAATAAATATAAATAAATAAATGAACAAAAAAGCAGAAAGAAATGTACATCAGGATCCTATTACTTAAAAATCTATAATTTCATTAAGCAATTAGGGAACAATAAAAAGAGAAAAGGTAATTATTTATGGTCCCTATTTTATATAACAAATATTTAACATAAATTAACTTTAGTTCTTAGAACACACCTGTAAATTATGTGTTGTCATTTTCACTTTACTAATACATAAACATGAAATATAGAGAAATTAAGTAATGAAGACAAACTTTAATCCTTTATCTAACTTGAACATCAATGAACAAAAACATATTTTTAATCCGGCTTACATTTTAGCCAGGAAAAAGAGAAAACAAGTACATGAATAAGTTGTATAATATTTTAGAACATAAGTACTATGAAAAAAAAGAAAGAAAATGCACATAAGAGGGGATCAGAAATCCTTGGACGGTGGGAGTTTGCACTTTTAAACAATATTTGCTAAATTTTCTTGGGAGGGTGACATCTGAGAAAAAAACAAGTTAGGGAGTTAGACACGGGGCTCTGTGGGAGAGGGCATGTTAGGCAGAGGAAACAGCTGGAATGAATAAGGTGGGATCCTGCCTACATGGCATGTTAGAGAAGCAGCAATTTGGCTAGAGCATAGGGCGCAAGAGGCAGAGTGAAGGTGGGAACAAGGCAGAGTTATTGGGAGGGGAGCATAACAATTGGGACCATGCAGATCATTGTGAGCATTGAGTTACTAATGTTTGGGAGCAGAGTATCTGGTAAAGCTTGTATTAATAGAACGTGATTGTACAGTCTCCTAATAATGATGGTTTGACTTATGATTTTTTCCTCTTTATAATGATATAAAAGTAATATGCATTTAGCTGCAACTCTGTACTTAGAATTTTGAGCTTTGAGCTTTTCTGGACTAGCAACATGCCTTATGATATTATTTATGATGCTGGACAGTAGCAATGAGTCCCAGTTCTCAGCCAGCCACAAAACCATGAGGATAAACGACCAATGCTCAACTGTTTACTGTGTTCCCAGTGTTTTTTTTTATATGTTTTGTTTTGTGTGTTTGTTTGTTTGATTTTTCCTATCCCATCATGTCCACTAAACATTCATCTATGTCTCCCACTTCTGAAGAGGCAGGCAATTACTGTATACAAGCAGTGCTCCCTTCTCCCCATATGATATAGTTTGAAAATGTACTAGTGCCGTCGTCAGCAAACGGCGGCTCTCAAGGGACATGCGGCTCTTTTGGCCCCTTAAGTGTGGCTCTTCCACAAAATACCATGGCCTGGGCGAATAGATTTTGAAGAAGTGGCGTTAGAAGAAGTTTAAGTTTAAAAAATTTGGCTCTCCAAAGAAATTTCAATCGTTGTACTGTTGATATTTGGCTCTGTTGACTAATGACTTTGCCGACCACTGTATTAGTGGATACATCTGTAGTTCCAGGACACAGTGCTAAGTGATGCTCACCTGAGCCCAAGCTTTCTTAATGAAAAACAAAAAACAACCATTAGGCATACAGTCAAGAGCTAATAGGAAAGCTGTTTGTTATCTAAGAACTCCATAGCCAAATGAAGGACCACTTTGGACACAACAAGCACAAGGAACCCTTGGCTAGAGAAAGCCAAAATCAGATCTGGCTCAGAAGTGCAAAATCAGACTTGGAGTCTCTGGAACATTCCATTCAAGGAAATCCCTTAAGACAGCTGAGCTTCATTTTCTTCATTTGCAAAATGGGAATGAAGACATAAAACTTGCCCAAGAATGGATGCTGTGAGGACCGATGCAGTGAACGGTTTTCGAAAAAACTATCAAGTTCTGTGCACCTGTTAATTAGTTCACAAATGCTGAAACAGCACCTGCAAGATTATGTGGATTTAGTCATTTTGATCAATTTTAGGAAGATCAGGCTTTTGGAGATTAGAAATAAAACTCGGAGATTAGGTGAGATGCCAGGAGTCTGGGCAAGTGATGAAATCACAGAAGCTGTAGGTTATCCCATTGGGTCCCAGAAGGTCATTTGCTCCTGGAGAGGTTGTCCTTACCCGACCCTCGCCCTCATCATCTTGATCCCAAAAACGTGTGTGTGTGTGGGGGGTGGGGGGGGGGGGGGGGGCTGTATTTCTGCTCCAAAACCCTTTCCATGCCTCTGGATCGGGATACCTCTTCCCGCCCCGCCCCTCCCCCTCCGCGGCCCCCTGGCCCCGGCTCCAGGCTCCCGGTCCCTGCGGCGGCCCGGAGGCGCTGCGGGCACCGGCCCCGCGCACCACGGCGCAGGCTCCGCACGGAGCAGGCGCGTCAGCGGAGCTCGGCGGCGGCGCGGGCGGCGGGACCAGCTCCCCGCTCCCCGCTCTGCGCCCGCGGCTCCCGGGCAGCCAGCGCCGTCTGGGCCCCGTGCCGCCGGGTCCTGGCCTGGCGGCTGGAGGCGGGGGAGCCTTGGGTACGTGTCCGCGGGCTCCACTGCGGCAGGAAGGGCTGGGGAGGACGGTGTGGGATGACGGGGCGGGGGGAGGTGGCGGGGGCCGGGGGACAGGGTACGAGCCTCTGCGGAAAGCCAGGGTCCAGGGCGGCGGGGCGCTGGGCACTGCGGCGGGCGGGGAGGAGCGAGCGTGGGGGCGCGGGTGGCGGGCCACGGGCCACCGATGCGCTATCCGCGGACTGGCTGGGGATGGAGGGATGCGGGGGGCCCGGCCGGGGTCACTAGAGAACGCACTTTGTGGGGAGGGCGCCCGGCGTGGTGTGGCTGAAGGTCCTTCAGGCACTGCAGCTGTCCCCTATGCAAGGTTGGAGGTGAAGGCGGAGCACATAGAGCTTACTGAAACCGTTAGGCGGCTCTTGGCTTCTCTTGGGGAAGGACGCGGAGGGGGCGGGCGAAGTACCTGCTGCAGTGGGCCAAGGTGTCTGCAAGTGGATGCCCTGGGAGGGTGGGGGCAGGGAGCGGCCAGTGCTGTGAGTAGACAGAGAGCCTTCTGCTCTCGCTGTTTGTTGGCCTGACAAGCACCCTCGCTTATCTTCGTTAGAAAGGACCTGGCTTGCTGTAGGGTGGTGCAATGGATAAACGTGGGGAAGTAATTATTGGGGGGAAAGAAAGGGAGATGAAAAATATGACCTGGGAGAAGCACATTTGTAAGTGTCAGGGGGTAATTAAGTTAATGTTGAAGCTTCTGATAGGTCTCCCACTCTGCAATGAAGGTGAAACAATTCATGGTTTGGGAATGAAGAATGCAGAAGAGGTTTAAATATTCCAGAAGCTTAAAGTGTTTGTTTGTTTGTTTGTTTGTTTGTTTGTTTGTTTTGCACCAGACATTGGCAAGAATATAATTCTCATTTCAGCATGGAAAATGTTATTAAAATATGGCTAGGGAGATTATTTGGAAGAATCTAACTGAACTTGCTACTTGATTTTATATAATGTTACCTAGAATTTCTGCAGTCAGAAATCATCTTTGGGTAATATTAGTATCAAGCAAGGAGGAAAGCAAAAAAACCTAATTTAAATCCATCTACATCCTTTTAGGGGGTAGAAGCTTGCAAAAGGATGAAAAGGATGAAAGTCTTTAATAATAATTTTTTATTTTATCTTTGGCAATTTTTAATACTTAAAATTATCTTCCCTTTAATTAGTCTTATTGTTTATGGAAAATATACGTGCAAGTTTAAAATAATATAAAAATGAAAAAAGAAAACAAAGATTAATTTAAACTTGATAGCATCAGATAACCATTTTAACTCCATGTTGAACTTCCTTCCAGATATATCTCTAAGCAAGCATAGATTGACGTACTGTGCAAGTCAGTATTATTCTACAATTTTATATGATTATAGAATCAGAAATATTGCATGCTTTATATTTTATTCCTCAGCAGGATTTTATTTCCTACCATTATTTAAATTAACTTTTACTGCTAAATCAGCACAAAATATATAGTGACATATAACCACCTAGGAATGAACAATGAGGATTGATGTACAAATGTCTATTGATTAGCAATGACTTTTACTCCTTAAATAGTCAGATAGTTAATCATTTGCTTCATACATGTAAATGTTTCTTGTTCTTTCTTATAGATCCACCTCCTGAAATATAACTTTTCAGGATGAAGTTTTTACCGGCGATTGCCTTTTTTATTTTAATTTCCTTGTGGGTTGAAGAAGCCTATTCTAAAGAGAAGTCTTCAAAGAAGGGGAAAAAGAAGCAGTATCTATGCCCATCGTACGTTCTTCATGCCTTATATTCTCATATGGAGAGATATTATTGCTTTTTTTTTTTTTAAATCCAAGTAAGGTTGTTTATTGAAATACATTATCAGCAGAACCTTTCACATCAGAACATGAACTAACTAACTAAATAGTGGTCTTGTCCAAATCTATGACTGTAAATATCATTTATTCGCTGTTGACTCCTAAACCTATGTCTGAAGAGCATCACACCCACACATTTAACATTAGAATCTGACTGTCCCTTAATGACCTCAAACTCAACTCAAACCCTGTTATCTCCTTTGGGAAGTTGTCCCAATTCTGATAGTCTGATTTAGATAAACACACTGTGCCTCTCTAGTACCCTAATTGCCTGTCATACTTACAATACTGTATTATAAATATAGTTTCCCCTCTAGATTGAAAGCTCTTTGAGAGCAGGGTCTTACTGACTCAGTCACTGAAGAGCAGCATTACACACATTCACACAAATAATAAAAATTTGTTTAAAGAGTGAATAACAACCTAAAGATCATTGGCTTTTACATCTGGATTGGTGTAGGCACTTGAAAATAATTTATATGACCCCTATGGACAATATTTAGAAATATGGTCCCAATAGTAAAACTAGATGAGTTAACAACTGGGTAATTAGTAGAACATCTTCAACCTCGCTGATGGTGACATTTTAGCCTTATTGTGTTCAACATTTTATCAATGACTAAAATAAGAACATAATAGGAAACTCTCATCCAGATTGAAGATAGTATGTATACCCATATATTCAGAAATGAATTTTCTGAACCATAGGGTATAAGTATATTAAACTCTAGGAGATATGAGTAGTTTCCCAGCTCTACTCCCATCATTCATGTGTGAGAGTTCCAGTTGCTCCACATAACTGTCGAAACTTGATCTTATCAGCAATCATTTGAATTTTAGCTGATATGGATATAAGATATTACATTGTGATTTTAATTTACATCTGCCTAATGATTAACATTTCTGGGCACCTTTTCATAAGTATATTGGAGTTTTAGTTATAAGTCTTTTGCCAAGTGATCACTTTTTAAAATTGTTTTCCCACCTTTTAAAAAGTCTGACCATTTTTTAAAATTATTGATATGTAGAAGTTCTTTATACATTCCTGAGAGAATTCTTTGTCAGATATATATATATATATATATATATATATATATATATATATATATATATATATATATTACAGCTCTCTTTCCAATTTTTGGTATGCATTATATATATTACAGCTCTCTTTCCAATTTTTGGTATGCATTTTAACTTAACAGTGTCTTTTGATGAACTAAAGTACTTGTTTTTAATGAAGTCTGAGTTTGATTTGATTTATTAATCTTCTTTAATGCTTTTGTGTTTTATTTAAGAAATAGCTCTCCAGGTCATGAAGATAATCTGCTTTTCCCCCCTTGGATGCTTTATTGTCTTTAGTTTCATATTTAGTTCTGTAATCCATTTCAATTTATTCTTTTGGTGTGTGATGTGGAATAGGGTCAAGACTCATTTTTAAAAGCAGCACATTGATTGAAAGCCCATTGTGTCTTTCAATGGCAGTTGTGAATTTGTTATAAACCAGTTGCTTGTTTCTCCATTCTGTCCCACTGGTTTATTGCTACACACTTTGTGTCAGTAATACACTTCCTAATTACTATAGCAGAATGTCTGCATGTCCTCTAGCCTTGTTCTCTAGAAGTACCGTGGCCATTTTAGGTCCTTTGTGTTTCCTCGTGAATTTTAGAGTCAGCTATTCTACTTGCGTAAGTATAGACACAAAATGCTGGGATTTGTATTGACATTATTTTGTTAACCTAAAATGAGAAGCCAAAGTGAGAGGCACCATTGTCTATTTGAGGTCACAAAAGTGCAACTTGGGGGGGGGGGGGGGGCGGGTACAGATTTAGGCAGAAACCAAAATTGTGTTCTGATTACAGAGGAAGGACTTTTTGTAAGAAAATGAAAAGAAAGGACTGCATAAGTAGAGGGAAGGAATTTCCATCGGTGTTCACACGCTGAGTTACTTTTTAGCTCTCCATGACTGGTTACTGACTCTATCTTCAGGAGGAATGTCCATGATCCTTGTGGTTGGGATGCCTGCTTTCCTGCTATTTTACAAATAATTCTTTATAAGACAATGTTACCTTGGCCCAGTGCAAAGGGTACTTCACCTAGTTCAACCATTCCAAAGGTTCAAGGAGCAAGACTTATAAGGAATGGCTAGTCTAGTTCTATTTTTAAATGGCTCCACTTATATCAACTTTTCATAAAATAGACTCAATTTTATTTATAACTTATATTCAAATGTATTATATATATTTCTCATTAATGTGCCTCCTGGTGTTTATTAGAATTCAAACTGTATAACACTGTTCAAAAATGTAGAATATTAGGTGTCAGTGTCTTTATTCTGCTCACTGATACTGCAGAGAAATTATTCTTTATCACTGCTCAGCAAAATCATATATGCTTAATGCTTAATCATCACTTGTATTTTTTCATTTTATTTTTCCAGTTTCTTTGCATTATTATAGTGTCTCTGTTACTGGTTTTTAAGAGCTTGTTGGTGACTAAAGATGTTAACCATTTCTCATGCATTGCAAAAAAAAAAAATACCATGTTTTTTGTTATTATTTTACTCTGGTGTTTTACTTTTTGGTTGTATCAAACTTGTGTCTTAAATATAATCATGTTCTGATTTTTTTAAAAGTAAATCAAAGAGTAAACAAGAAAAACAACCACACATGGGGGAAAAAAGGCAACGCAAACAAACTAATTAGGAATGAAGATATTTACCATGACATTGGAATAACCATTTTTTCATAAATGTGGCTAGCCCTGGGATAATGTGTGTGTGTGTGTGTGTGTGTGTGTGTGTGTGTGTGTGTGTGTTATGTCTAATACAAACCATTGCACTGAGTAGAATTCTTTAAGGAATTGGAACTAAGGTGTGTTTTTTTTTATTCTTATCCTGTAGCCAATTACTCCATGAATCAGAGGTTGAGCTCCATCGGATGCAAGTGTTTTTGTGTGTTTTATTTGCTGGTATTTTCCCAGGACCTTAAAAAAAATGCCTGGCAGTGGCAGACACTTGTTAAATATTTGTTGAATGAGTCGTTGAATATTTATGGAATACTCCTGTGTAGAAATTCAGAATTTGTAATTCTAGTTAAGTATGAATTTTGTGAGGGGGAAATAGTTTCAACTCTTGAAAATTTACATTCCTGAAACCTCTCGCGCCCCCCGCCCCGAAAAAGAATGCTAACAAAATACAGGTGATAGATGTTATTAGTCATGTCAATCATTTGGTAAGTACTGGTTATGATATCATCATACCTTTACAAATAGATTTTAAAATTAGTCACATTTGTTTCTGGTTGCCTTTAAGGTTCTGAATTGTTTTAAAATATCGTGCAGTGAATTTTGTCTTTTATCTTCTAGGTGTTCATGTAAGAACTATTACATTTTGGCAGCTATACACGAGACTTGTTCTGGATTGTTAGCTTGACACTTTTAAGGAGGACAGGGAAACTGGCTCTATTTTCCATGAGGGCATATGATCCTGCCTCTATTACCATCCCCCTCTATTCCTTTTCCTCCCTAGAGTGAATGAGCGAGCTCTCCGTCATCTAAGGCTGGTTTTTTCACCCATCATTTAGATCTCGTTGACTCCTATTTTGGGGGAGGAGAGAATCTGAAATTGGGATTCACTTTTTCTCACTCAACTGCATCTTTTGTAATCCACTCAAGTTTTACACTATGGACTACAGTATAGAAAAATGCAGTATGTCTCTGAAACTCACCTGTCTGTAGCCATTCTTTTATCTTGCTAGTTTTCATGTTAAGGGGGTAAAAATAGATTTATTATATTAATTTGCAAAGTTGAAGTATTTAGGCATTATATCCAATGCTAATTTGTCCTGCTGGTGTTTACTTATCTCTCAATGCCAGATTCTCCCTAGAAGAAAGCCAAAAAATTAAAATTTGTTTCCAAACAATAGCTATGTAAATAGTTCAAGGAAACAACCATTGGTTCAGCCAAAAAAAAAAAAAAAAGCAAACTAATTTAACTGTTTATTTGTTTTTCTAAATGAAATTGAGCTATAAATTCACTTGAAACTCACTGTATATCTATATATACAGTATGGTTTTTCTTTTTTTTTTTTAGTATTGTCACTACATGTTGTTTTTAAATTTAAACATTTTATTGTGGTATGAATACTTAACATGAGATCTGCCCTCTTAACAGATTTTTTAAATTAAATGTCACAGTGTTGTTTTCTGTAGGTTCAATATTGTACAGAATATCTCTAGCACTTATTCATCTTTGCATCAGTGAAATTTCTCTGTTAATTAGCAATTCCCCATAGCCTCCTCACTCCATTAACCACCATTGTATTCTCTGCTTCTATGAGTCTGACTATTTTAGACTCTTCATATAAGTAGGATCATGCAATATTTGTGCTTCTGTGACTGATTTATTTTTCTTAGCATAAGGCCCCCAGGGTTTATCCATTTTGTTGCATATGGCAGGATTTCTTTTTTAAAGGGTAAATTAGATTCCATTGTATGCATATACTGTGTTTTTCAAAAAGCCAGTTAGCTGCTATCAATGGACTTTTAGGTTGTTTTCACATGTGAGTGGCTGTTATGAATGTCATGACCATGGCCTGTGCAGACACAGGGAGAAACTGAGTTTTACATCCCAATTATGATGCACTGAGGGGCTAAGGTGGAGCTATGGTGAACTCTGCTTATTCCAACAATAGCTTGGTTCTCTGTAGTCCCCAGGGGAATGGCATATACTGGGCCCCATTGTTACTCAGGAACAGGGGAAATAAAAACAAGTATCTAGGGTAGCATCTAGAAAAGCTGTGATATTATGTGGGGTAAGACCCTTTTCCTGCTCAGGGAGAAGCTGGGAGCTCTGGATGGTACTAGGCTATGCTGCTCTGAGGGTGGGGTTTATGAGGGTATGAAAGAGTG